CTGGACCAGGAGGTCGCACTTGCGAACAGTCAGGCATGAAAGAGTTCTTGCTGATGGAATGCACAGGGACACTGTGAAGCTGAGCTGTTTTATTTTGCTTTGAGGAAACAGCCTCAAGAAGGGAGGTTTAGATTGGATATTAGGGAAGAAATTTCTTCACTGAAACAGTCGTCCAGCCCTGGCACAGGCTGCCCTGGGCAGTGTTGAAGTCCCCATCCCTGGAGGGATTTAAAAGCCAAGTGGATGTGGCACCTGGGAATATGGGTTAGTGGTGGCCTTGGCAGTGCTGGGGAAACTTGATGAGCTTTTCCAACCTAAAAAAACTCTGTGATTCTATTCTGTGATTCTTCTTTGCATTGGAATGCAACAGAAATTCAGGAGAGCTCAATCTCAAGATGAGTAATTTAATCTTCAGAGCCCCTTTGCAAATAAAGCATCTTTAAATATTAGCTATGTAGGAAATGTGGAGGAGCCAAGAGGTGTCCACGCTTCCTGCTGCGCTCTGTCTGGGCTTGGCCTGGAGGATGCTGGCTGGCAAATGCTGGGACTGTGCCAGGGCATGTATCCTCAGTAGGGCAGGACGGGTGTTTGCACCAACACACCTGATTCTTTTCATTTTCCAGCACGGACATAACCTTTGGGGACCTAAGATGATCCTTCTGACCCAGATCTATGAAATATTAAGACTGCCAGCTCCTGTTTAAACACTCTCAGTGCATGTGAAACTGATGACTGTGGTCTGTCTGTACCTTTGAGAATAAGCAGGGTGAGGGTCTTGACTCACTGGGATGTATTTGCTTTGGCAGTTATGCTGTTTCCTCATCTCATCCCAAACCTGAAGTAAACTAAGGCTCTGGTAGCAGAAAAGGCCTTATCACCTGAGGGCAATTTTCTGTGGCAGGAAAAAAGAGAAAGCTTCAGAGAGGTGTTAATTTGTGCCTAACAATTCGCTTGCCGTAGCGATCTTTGCGGTGCTTGCACTCTGAGGGAGAGGGAAATAATCAAGCACTAATCAAGCAATAATCTTTTCAGTGCACAGCACTGCTTCCTCACGGGTAGCATCTTTCTTAGCAGGTGAATTATTCCTCGCTGTGGCCAAATTCTGTGTCAATCCCTTTACACTGAATGTCAAGATTCGAGAGATTAGATAACAATCAACATGAGCATTCTTTACACTGCTTATATTTCATTTGCAGCACGGTAAAACCAAACAAAACCCGCAGCAGTGCTGGAGGATCATCAGATAAAGGAGGTTTCATTGTTGCACGTCCCCAGATTTAAGCATCTAAAACGCTGGTGTGCAGCAGTCATGCCTCAGGTTTGGTCCTGCTTCTGCAGCCCTTGGGTCTGGTACTCAGGTAACCTGGGCTGAATGTTTCCTGCATGACTAAATATTGGCCTCCCGAGCCCAAACCAGATACTGGTTTGCTAGGGGAAGGGGAAATGAACATCTTAGAATCACAGATGTATGTATTTATATGCCTGTATTTGTGTATGTGTATATGTATGTATTTATTTTAAGAGCTGTAAACAAAGTGACATCTCTTTTGCTATGTTATGCTGGCACTGGGAGGGAGGTAGTCCAGGAAAATACCCCAAAATTCCTGCCCAACATAACTGTTTCTTACTGAGCCTGGTTAACACCTGCACGTCACAAAAAGAATGAAAAGAGAGTGCTTCGAAAAAAAAAACCAAACAGGTGACTTGAATAGCATTTATTTGATGTAAACGAAAAAAAAAAAAAGGAACAGTTTCAATAACAACATAAATTAGTTCTGTTAGCAAAACTGTGTTATGAATGATAATGGGAAGAAGCATGACTGACTGATATACATGTCAAATTACCAAATAGCTGTTTCTTCGTGAGGGGTGATGGGAAGAATAAACTCTTTAGATAGCACAAAATGTAGAATTAATTCTGAATGACAAGCAAAATCTTTCTAATGGCTGAGACACGGCCTTCATCTTCTGTTGTTTTTCAGTTCTGTGCATATGATTTCTTTAAGGTACTGCCAAAATGTCCCCGTTGCTCAGCAACAGCAAGCTGGAACAGCACCCGTTGGAGAAAATCTGCTGATTTACACTGGCCATAAAGTGTGTTCTCTTACCCGAGTGCAGATTTTGACATTAGAATGAAAGCAGCCTTTGTAGGTTTGGCTCTCTCTGGGGCACACATGGTCCTGAGTGGGGAGGTGTCAGTTCAAACACTAAAATATCCTTTTGCATTTCAGTTTGATAAACCATAGAACCACTGGATGGTTTGGAATGGGCGCCTGAAGGTCATTAGTCCAGTACCCCTGCAGTGACCAGGGACATCTTCAAGTAGACCAGGTTGCTCAGAGTCCTGTCCAGCCGGATCTCGAATGTCTCCAGGGATGGAACATCCACCACATCTCTGCACAACCTGTGCCAGTGCCTCACCACACTCATTATAAAATATTTCATCCTTATATTTGGTCTGAATCGACCTTCTTTTAATTTAAAACAGTCATCCCTTGTCCTATTGCCACAGGCTCTGGTAAAATGTTTGTCCCCATCTTTGTTAAGGGGAACTTTAGGTACTGAAAGGTCTCCCTGGAGCCTTCCCTTCTCCAGGTGAACGCCCCCAGCTCTCCCAGCCTGTCTCCAGAGCAGAGGGGCTCCAGTCCTTGGGGCATTTCTGTGGCCTCCTCTGGACCTGCTCAAAGCTTATTCCAGACAGAACATGACCTCATCCAACCCCAGTGTGGGATCCTGTGCAGCATCTCCCCTAGGAATGAGTCACTGCCTGGTCTATAGGAGGTTTTTGCAGCTCTGCTGGCCCAGCACTGTGCCTTTGGCTGACTGTGCCTCCTGTACAGAGTTTGCCTGTTACATGTAAGGAGGTATTGATGCAGCAAAATGCCAAAAGACTGAGAGAGCTGGGGCTGTTCATCCTGGGGAACAGAAGGCTACAGGGAGACGTTAGAGCCCTTTCCAGTGCCTAAAGAGGCTCCAGGAGAGCTGGAGAGGGACTTGGGACAAGGGATGGAGGGACAGGATGAGGGGGAATGGCTTCTCAGAGACAAAGGGCAGGATTAGATGGGATATTGGGAAGGAATTGTTGGCTGTGAGGGTGGGCAGGCCCTGGCACAGGTTGCCCAGAGAAGCTGTGGCTGCCCCATCCCTGCAAGTATCCAAGGTCATGTTGAAAGAGCAACCTGGTCTAGCAGAAGTTGACCCTGTCCATGGCAGTGAGATAGAATGAGATGGTCTTTAATGTCCCTTCCAACTCAAACCTGCCTATGATTCTAGGATTCTGTGATAAGCACAAAGAACAGAAGTTGAGTTTCCTAAATATCCCACATACACTGATTCAAAAACTGTATTTTCCAATGTCTTGCTCACTATTTGTTTAAAAGGTAACATGTCTTTGGAAAGCTTAGTGATGATAAATAGAGAAAAACTTATACCAAACTCAAAAAAAGGATGAATATTTGTTTTAAAAATTAACTCCACACAATATTATGTAGGTATTTATTAAGTAAAACACCATAAGTGGTACAAATGATCTCTGGAGTGGCAGTCACACAAAAATACTGCTGAGCATCTGAAAATCTGAAACTTCATCAGAATATACTGCCAGCAATTCATCCCAAATATTTTACACTCAGATCCTTGTGATGCTTGGAAAACAGCATGGGTTTTTTTTGTCCACCCCTCGTTCCCCCCAACCCCTCCTCCTCAAAAATCATCAGTAGCACTGTTCCCAGGTTGGATTTTATTTCATCTGCTACAAGAAGAGCAGGGTTAGATTTGCTTTTCCTGGGGCAACATTATTGCATGAAGGGTCATGCCAACTGCAGGACCTGAGGATGTGGAGCATTTTTGGTGAAGGTATCAGCTTCACCATGAAGTGGAGTATCTCTGTGAGCCAGAAAGGTGGTTGAATTAACGCACACTGAGGTGACCATTGCTGGTGGGTGCAAGGTCAGCTTCTCCCCTTCTCCCCCTGCAAACCCCAGGAGCCTGTGCAGAGGTGGGACGTGGCTGGTCTGATGCAGAGCTCTGCTGCTCTGGTCGCCCAACCACCCCCTTCCTACTGTGGGGCAGAGAGAAGTGGCAGAGCAGCAGCTTCATAGAATCTTTTACGAATTGGAAACGACCTCTAAGACCACCCACTCCAACCACTGCCCCCCAGCACTGCCAAGCCCACCACTCACCCCTGCCCCCACATGCCACACCTATGGGGCTTTTAAATCCCTCCAGGGATGGGGACTCCAACGCTGCCCTGGGCAGCTGTGACAGGGATGGATATTGGGACAGCCTGTTCAGTGAAGAAATTCTTTCCCACTATCCAGCCTAAATCTCCCTGGTGCCACGAGAGGCTGTTTCCTCTCATCATGTCCCTTGTTCCCTGGGAGCAGAGCCCGGGTCCCCCCCAAGCTCCACCCTCCTGTCAGGGAGTGGCAGAGCCAGAAGGTTCCCCCCGAGCATCAGCAGAAGGCTGGGACAGAACAGCATTTTGCTGTGTTTGATATTGGTGGTCTGAGGGGGGCAGTGCATATAGAGAGGTCAAGGAGGTCAGCTCAAATTTGTTCTACTTGTGCATAGACTGAACAGAGCCACTTTATTGCACAGGAAAGGGACAGCAGTGACTTTTTTTTTTTTTTGCTGCCCCCTCCTGTGTTAACCCATCACCAAGTTCAAGTATTAAAAAAAAAATATCATGAGATTAACACAAAAATCATGAAAATCGTCCCCATTTTATGCTTGATGGCTGCTAATTCAGATCTCTCTCCACAGGGCTCGAGGTCCTCCAGGTAGAATTCTTCACCACCTGTTTCATACTTGGCAAAGGATACTCTTTATTGCACTTCTCTGCTACTATGAAGCTATCTAAGATGTATCCTATTGCTGTCATTAGCTGGTTTTAGCCATCTATTAAGAGTCCCCTCAGATGCTGAAAGATGCTCTTCATTGCCTTACGTCTGATTGCTGTGCCTTGACTTTCACAAAGAGATTTTTCTTTACAACTTCTATGTGATTTCCCCATTCCTTTATTATTCAAGTGTTTTTTCAGACATATGTGCTTTAAAATCATTACAGGCTTGTCTCGGAGAAGGTCCTTCCAACACAGTTTCTATATCTAATAGAAATTTTGTTCTACTTAGAACAAACAAGGTGTGGTGCAGAAAGTCTGTCCATTCAGAAGGTGATGTTTGACTTTGCAGCACACAAATTACAGTCTATTGAGGAAGCATCTTGTGGTGTTGCCTTAAAAGTCTGCCAAGCATCTCTCTTCTTGAGTTTCCTCATCTTCAGATAATAAGCTCGGTTGGCTTCTGGGTAGGTGACTTTGGAGAGTGGCAGCTTGTAGATGGCAGAGTTGGTCGTGGTTATTAGCAGGAAAGTCAGTGCAGACAAGCAAAAAGACCAGGTTCCTGATGGCACCCCAAACTGCAATGAAAAATAAAAAACAACCTATTCACTGTGTGTCTTTCTTTTATTTGAATAAAACCCAGAGCCAGGTACTTTGGAAAAAGGGTTCTCAAGGGAGTCTAGACCTGGTTTTGCATTGAGCCTTTCCTTAGGGAGGCAGGATTTCTTCATGAGATCTTGACACTGTGCATTAGCCTGCAGTATCTACCAGCTCTGGTGAGAGGGCTGCCCTCTCTTTGTGCATCTACCGTGGCCTTGGATGGACATGAGGCAGGAGTGGGTGGAGATGAGGCAGGAATGGACACCAGAAGCATTCAGCTTTTCCCTGGGCTGTTATATTGATTGTCTTTTGGCAATTGAGAAAGGTAATTAAATCAAATGTAGTGTTTCTTTATACGTGTGGAGTACCCTTTCTCAATTATTTCAGGCACAAAATGTAGAAATGTAAATATTTGAAAGAGAGGAGACCTTATAGCAGCCTGCCAGTGCCTTCAGGGGCTCCAAGAGAGCTGGAGAGGGCCTGCAGTGACAGAACAAGGGGGAATGGCTGCACAGTGACAGAGGGCAGGGTTAGATGGGGCATTGGGAAGGAATTCTTCCCTGTGAGAGTTGAGAGTGGTGAGGCCCTGGCACAGGTTGCCCAGAGAAACTGTGACTGCTGCATCCCTGGAAGTGTCCAAGGCCAGATTGGACGGGGCTTGGAGCAACCTGGGATAGTGAAAGGTGTCCCTGCCCATGGCAGTGGGGGAATGAGATGAGCTTTAAAGTCCCTTTCAACCCAAACCATTCTGGGATTCTGTGGCCTCGTAAGTGTTGAGAACTGAGCTGCGGAAGTTCATTCAAACTCGGAGGAAGAAAACTGATAAGTGATGATTCTAAGTGACCTATTCCAGTGGGAATCACACCATCCCCCCTGGGCAGATAATCACCCCTCTTTGGGATCACTTCTGCCTTTGGCTGAGTTCCTCTCTGCATCTTGGTGTTTTGCCTGACAAGCCAGGGAAAAATACAGTGCTCAGATCTGTTGTTGGAAACCAGACCTTAGCTGATGCACTACTTACCACAGACAGCATGTTGGACACTGCTGCTCCCAGGTAGGCACTGAAGAGTGCTGTGAGAAAGAAAGATAGTTCCTGGTGAGTTCAGCTGCTCACAGAGTAGCACAGCAAGGGCAAACACCTCTCACCCTGCCTTGGGTAGCTCAACCAGTGATCATGACCCTGCCTCAACAGCACCCTCTTAAAGCTCTTTCTTTGGCACTGTGTCCTCTCCAACCTGGAGCCTACAGAAAGGGCAAAACAAACAAACAAACAAACTAACTAACTAACTAACTAACTGGAGTGATGAAAAATGTGCTGTGGAATCAGAGGCTTTTGAAAAATACACTCACAGGGAAAGTATGTAGCTTGATGGATGGGGTTAAATAGGAAAATAACCCTTCCACCCTCATCTGTCCTGCCTCTAGGGCTTGAAGGTGGGTCAATGAGATACAAAGCTAAATCTTTTTTATATGAGCACTGAACGAGCAGTAGTTTCATTCCCAGCTTACTCTGATATTGAAATTTCATATGGAATTGCCTTATAAATAATTCTTCAGTCGTGCTGTGTTACCTAGCTCATGCCTTTGGTATCCATTTCAACAGAATGGGGAATGTGTACTGTCTAACTACAGCTGTGGACTGATCTTGAGCTCCACTTTTCTCAAAGTTTAGGTATGTCCTTCTTCAAAGAAGGAATCTGAGCTGGTATCTCTGACTGGAAAACCCACTACGATTCATCCAGCAACGGAAGTGCAAACACAATAAACATCTCGAAATGGATGGACCAATTTCAAAGAGCTGAGTTAATCAGTGTCCACTGATCACACCTCTTGGTTTTTAAAGGCAACTCTTGGCTGAAAATAAAAGAACAGCTTTTATTTTGTCAGGGCACATTTAAAGCCACGGCTCCAACGCCCGGCTCCATCATTTGACGGCCTCACCTACGCCCATCTGCCCGCCCTGGGGGTGCCCATCTGGCTCCATCCACCTCTACTACAAAAGGCTCTCGAATCACTTCCAAAGGAGGAGTGGCTGAGGTGAGAACCCATCAGGTACTTACCACAGGCAATCGCCAGCAGATGTGTCTGCCAGGTGAGGGCGTAGAACATGCCCCCCATGGCAACGCAGGAGAGGGAGCTGTTGTAGCCCCACAGCCCGGAGTAGATCTGGCTGAACGGCGTTGCTAAGCTCAGCCCTGGAAAAAGTAAGTCAAAAGATGTTGTCACTCCTTGGCCAAAGAGGTGAAAGCAGCGGAGGAATGGCAGGAATCCAGCTTTCCAAGGGTTCTAGCCAGCCATATGTGTGTGGAGTTCCTATTTGTAGCTGTAGTGTTCCAGTCCAAGGCCAAAGCCACTTTAATCTGATGAAGCCATGGCAGAGCTTCCCTGAGCTGAATTTGGCGATGTGATCTCAACAGCAGATGTATGAGCCTGTGTGTGAACCTTAAATGCATCCCCTGGGGCCCACACATCCACACTGATGGCTATGACTTTTTTAGTCTGCTCCTAAACCCACCAGAATATGTCCAGAAATTAAGTATTTCATGGGAAAAATTAATCTCAGGCCAAAATACGCTTCTGAAGGTTTCCACCATCATAAGACAAGGCAAGAGAATGGGGAAGTCAATCAAAAGAATTCTTAAAAGAGAAGTCTATGTACGGTTTGTTTTTTCAAGCAGTTCTCCAATGGAAGAAAAAATTGTAAGTATTCTACTTATTGCAGTTCCTCTTTTGTTCTCCAAGCTTTTATATAAATCTGTGACACAATTCAAATCACCTTACCTGCCAGCATCCCCACTCCTGAGCCGATCACTGCATGCAGAAAAATGAGTGGGGAAGAGATAAATAAAGCCACCAGGAAAATTCCCCCGGTCCAAGGATTGTCACAACCATAAACCTGACCCACACCGACTGGAATAGATTGCAGGAGCTGTAAGAATTAAAAAAAAAAAAAGAAAAAAAATAAGCAAAACCAACCAACCAACCAACCAACAAACAAACAAACCAAGACAAATTTTAATTTGTTACCAGCTTTATAACTTTTTGGGTTTTAATCTATTTTTCTTGGCCAGTTTGGCATTTGCTGGATGCAGCCTGTCTTTCTAAGTGGAGCATTTGGATGCCTCTTGGGAGACATTTCCACAGGGTTTCCCCTTCTATGAAAATGAGTTATGACTTGCTCCCTAGCCACGAGATCCTCTGCCAGGTTTTTGGCCTTATATCACAGATAAATATTTTGTGAAAGTGTTTACTCGTCATATTTGCCCCTGCTGCTGACTGGGCCATTTTTACATACCCAAATGATCCACGACAGGGAGCCCAGGGCATGGAAGTGCTCAGGTAGATGATGCCTTTGAGAGGACATTCCCCTCTGACTGGGCAGATCAGTGCCAAGGGTGATATGGCCAATAATGGCTTGGTCAGAATTAAGAGACTTTACTCAGGAAAGGCTTTATTCCTGATTTAGTTATAGACTTGAAACTCCCTTGGGATTCACTGGGAATGTGAATGCAGTGGCTGAGTTGGTGGGACAGAGCCCAGCTTGGTCACAGCTTAGAGGTGGTTTTGAGGCACTTTTCCAATTATGATCCCCATAAAATTATGCACCAGGGTAAGTGTTCCGAAATGTCACTTTTGGGTTGATATTTAGTGTCAATTAACTTCCTTTTCTTAATCACTCCCTGGGAATCCCTCAAAATAGTCTGCTGAGCCTTGGGGAAAAGCAGTTACTCTAGTATCTGTATGGTTTATAGTGTTCAACTATAAAACCTTTCTTTGGGAAGTTCCCACTTGAATACAAATTAAAAAATGTATGAATGTGTGCCTGCACCCATTTGTAACTATTCTACCATTGTAGTATCTACTTGCTCATGCCTGATTAGGAAGATGCAATTTTATAAACACTCTACTTGAAAAACTCAAATTGCCCCGTGAGTTAACTGGAAGTCTCAGCTCAACCTTAGCTATGGGGAGGTGATCAGTTGCCCACAGAAATGGGTAATTAGATTCCAGAGACTCTTTGAAGATTTAGACCCAACTGCAAATGGAAGATACCAAAAAGGTTTGCGTTCTTCAGCTGTCAAAAATGTTCATTCCTAGAGTAAACATTTACATTTTGGATAACAGCCATCTCATGAAACAAATTTTGTATTGCCAGGCCATCTGACAGTAACAAGGAAGGTGGGCCTGTTGGGATGAGTCCAGAGTGACAAAGATGCTCCCAGGGCTGGAGCCCCTCTGCTCTGGAGCCAGACTGGGAGAGCTGGGGGGGTTCACCTGGAGAAGAGAAGGCTCCAGGGAGACTCCAGAGCCTCTTCCAGGGCCTAAAGGGGCTCCAGGAGAGCTGGAGAGGGAGTTGGGACAAGGGCCTGGAGTGACAGGACAGCGGGAATAGTTTCCCACTGACAGAGCACAGGGTTAGATGGGATATTGGGAAGAAATTCCTCCCTGTGAGGGTGGGGAGGCCCTGGCATGGGTTGCCCAGAGAAGCTGGGGCTGCCCCTGGATCCCTGGAAGTGTCCAAGGCCAGGTTGGATGGGGCTTGGGGCAACCTGGGATAGTGGAAGGTGTCCCTGCCCATGGCAGGAGGGGAGGAATGAGATGGTGTTTAAGGTCCCTTCCAAACCAAAAACCTTCCAAACCGGGATCCTATAAAGGAATATAATACATTTCTGTAGTGGTTTCATTTGTAAGGGAAGAAAACTGCTGTCTTTAAGACAACCTACCATTGTGATTTCAGCATCTGTCCAGGTGATGTTTGGTGTTGCTGTTGCAGGCTGAATGACAGTGGTAGGGAAGAAGAGGTTGTGTGGTCCTGATGCAGCCAGATAGAGGGTCAAGGCCAAGTTGAAAGGCAAAGTGAGAACAGGCAGGTCCCACTTACAGAAGACTGAAGCTAAAGCACTGGTGAAAATAGGGCTGAAAGGAGAATAAAATGGTCTCACTGGTCAGCTAGGCAAAAAACTCACCAGAACCAAATCCAACCATAAACCCAACTGCAGCAAATTTAGCCTATTTACTTTAAATCTGTTTAATTCCTCAGTCTTTCTGATCAAATCAGACACATGACAGAGTCACCCCATAAATTTCCTACCCTTTCCCAGGCAGTTATAAATGTCCAGATTCCTGTCACATTATAGAATATATATGGTGAATTTGGTGAGCATGAAGGAGACAAGATCCAATGATTTAATAGAGGTATTCCCCAGCTCAGTCCCAGTGTTCACCTTTTTTTTTTTTTTCCTTCAGCACTTGAACTGGACTGAATACAGGACACCTTTGCCAGGTCTGAGGGAACTGTGAATGTGGCCGTGTGCCCTTGCTCGAGCTTGTGAATCAGAAGTAAAAGCTGATACCAAAGTGACTGTAACACTACATGAACTTCAGGCAGACAAATTTTATGTGTGGTTTCAGCAATCTGCAACTGGACATTTTGGGGTCAAAGACCACCTTTCAGAATTTTTTGCTGTCCAAATGCCTAGAGGATTATTGTGTCATATATATGAGTAAAGTATTATTAGTTGTTTGTTTTGATTAGCGTCAACCACCGTGTCCTGGGACCACTGAACAGCCTCTGTGCCTGGAGAAGTAAATTTTCATGACATTTTTATATGGTGGCTTAAATAGATGAAACACTTGTGGTTGATGACAATGGGGAATGGCGAAAATAATGTTCCTCTTGAAACAAAAATGAATTGACTCATCAGAGCAATATGACTCACATTTAGAGTATTGAATTACGTGTGATCAGCCATCGATTTTCCTTCTCCCCACTGGGCTTATTTGCGATTATGTGGGTATTTTTATTTGTTTCTGGATTACATTTGAGTTCAAAAGTGCAAATAACGACACGGATTTAGCAGTGTGTTAGCCGTGTTTCCTTTCCATTGGACTGTGCATGGAAATACAACAGCTCAGTCTCAGTGTGGGGACACTGGGGTTGGAAAAATAAGCAGAGGGGCCATCTGACTTACCAGGTCATGGACAGCAGTGCTATGGGCAGCAGGAGCCACCAGTAGTAGTCCCCCTTAGCAGAGAAGACGGCCATAAGTGATCCCACCAGGATCCCGTTGTATCCATACAGGCCGGCTGCTATGGCTGACCTGTGGGAAGGCGAACAACAACTACCTTGAAATCTCCTCACCTGAGAAGGCTTTGCTTGCATCACCCCCCCTCCGACCCCACTCAGCTGTGACTCTGTGTGATGAAAACCTGCCAGGACTCATCCACCGACGTTCAATTTCGCACATTTGATCCTGTGTGCCCTCAGCAACTTCGGTAGGTGTGCCCAACACCCCTTTGCAACAGGTGCAGCCGGTGGGAAGCTCTGTCTGGTCCTGCTAGACCGGATACGTGGCCAGTGAAGGCTGGATCATGCAATCATAGCAGGTTTGGGTTGGAAGGAACCTTAAAGATCACCTACTTCCAACCCCCTGCCAGGGACAGGGACGCCTTCCTCTACGTTCAGGCTTCTCATCCACATCACGTGTTTAACACATAAGTCAGCACTGAAGTGCCCACCTGCTTCTGAGAGGGAAAAGGATGGACTTACCTGTCCTGACCCAGAATGAGTGCTGTTAAGGTGGAGACAACTGTGCCCAAACACGCTGTGAGTGCCCACCAAGGGTTCTGCAGCACAAAGCCAGCAAGGACGATCAGCCCACTGAGGGGGTTGTTGACAAACATCACCTGGGATATCCCACGCAGCACCCAGTCAAAAAACTGGATCATGAGAGGTTTATCTGGAAGATATCAAAATAAAACATAAAACAAGCCCCCTAAGGTACACAGATGGTACTGATTCGGGATGTATTTTTGAAACTCAGGAAGAGTTCTGGCGGTGGGACTTGGCACCAGGACTGAAGCAATGAATCAACAAGACTGTAAAACCTGACTGGGATTTATTATGGCCTATACTGCAGCCTTACAGCTGGAAAACTGAGATGAACGGCGTGGTTGCCAGAACCCCGTGTTATAAAGTACCCTGGACTGGATTCATATGAACCAGCTAATTTATGATGTCTGTGGCTCAGATGGCAAATCGTATGTGTATCCCACTGCTGATTTATTGAGGGGACCAAACGCACCTACCTATGTGTAATTTAACTTCACAGTGGCATTAGGCTTGACAGAAACTGCTCAGCTGAAAGGACATGGAGTGTTATGAAGAATGGCAGAGCCCGGAATAACCATCTGGGGCTATGTTCTGTGGGACTAAATTCCCTTTGTACATGGCTTGTTGGGAGGTAAATGTCATCTCAGACATCCTCAAGATTTAAGCCGTATGTGAATCTCTGCACAAAGCTGATTTTTTTTTCACCCCTACAAAACAGATATAAATCAGGCTAAAGGTAGTTTCTGTACTACTCTGACCTGAATCACATAGCTGAGAAGTTAGTTATTACTCCTTGGATGTATTTTTGATTTGGAATCCCCTAATTACTCGTGATGAAGGAGCTTTACCTTTTAGCCAGGCTCCAAATTCCTTCATGTCTCCAGTGATGTACCCAACAGCTTTGCAGACTCTCTTCCCACCTTTGCTCAGTGGATTCTGCCTCATTGGCTTTCTTTCCCCCATGGTGTCTATCTTGACATCAACAATGTTTTCCATGTTGTTGTTCTGGCCCTTTGGTAAAATCAAAGGGAAAAAGAAAACAAAACAGTTTGTTGTAATGCCTCTTGCTGGTTCCTGTTTATTCTCTCTACCACATATTATTGCTCACCATGTGCTACTTTGGAGCCAGGAAGAGGAAAGTCCTTATTCTGAACACCTGATTCTCATGTCTCCATGAACTTATGCTCTGTCCTTCCAGAATTCCATGCAGTCATAGATTTGAACACCACAGGGAATGTGTTTGTCATGGTGTTTCACCCGATTTTAACGCCCCTCTCATCTATACCATGTTTTTCTGGAAATCAAGCAGCTCTTGATTTAAAGGGTGGTTTCAAAAAAAGCAAGACAGCATTAGAGGGCACTGGCTTCACAGAGGTTGAAGTTTACCTCAAGATTCAGCTTGACAGAGATCCACCCCATATAAAAAGACATTTCAGTCATTAGGTTTCCTCTGCTGCATAACCTGTATTTGAATTTGTCCATCAGCCATCAATAAAAGGCACCTAAAGCTGGGTTTATGGGTGTCTGTACTGTCACCTATTGGGATCAGCCTCCCTCATGGGCTTAGCCTGAGGGATGTCCATGGTGCCTTATTCCATTACTCACATGCATTCATACATTTCCCTTCTCAACAGAACTTCACTTTTAGCTGCCCATCTTTAGAAGTACCCAGCACTGATCCAACAGCCTAAAGGCCAAATTCACAGTGCTTGCCTTCCACTCTGCCTCAGTCACGTTGCTTTGTTTTCTGCCAAGCCAAGATAGGGGACCACATTTTGGAAGCTGCAGTAAGCCCTAAGGGACTAATGAAAAGACACTTATTAAATTCAGCAGGTACTCTAAGAAGATTGAAATAAGGTTATAGGTCAAACAAAGGTGTTTTGGGCCTACATAAGGCATTTGGGGTATCCACGCAGGGCTGGCAGAGATGGGGTTCCCTACGGGACACACTCCCTTTGGAGAAGGAGCTGTTGGAAACCCCTTTGGCACCTCATACAGCTCTAGACAGGCTTTTTCAGGCTGTAAGTCTCTGGATCAGAGATTTATACCTAACTGTAAACACTGGATTTCAAAAACAGTTTCCTATAGCCAAATGGTTATTTGTCTAGGAGCCAGCTCTCAATACGAAGCCAGCAAATTAAAAACAGCCAAACCTTTCCCTGGAGAGTACTCTGTTTCCTGAAGAGTAGGACTAATTCTTGGTAATTATCAAGGCAAAGAAAACACAAGACAATGTGTGTTGTTGGGTGAATACAGAACCAGACCTGCTTCAGGTCTCACTGGTGAGTATTGGCTTGTGCAAAAAAGCAATTAATTTAGGTAGGGGGTCGATAGCCTAAACAGGATGATAGAAACACATAAACATTGAATTAGTCCTTGACTCACTTGAAACTTCAGTAAAAGCCTTCCTAGTAGCTCGGGTAGAGAATCCATACTTCAGAAACACAGGTGCTAGGCACTGAAGGTTAAGCAGCCTCACCCCTGGGCATTACACTTCCAGACCCAGACTTGTGGTTAAGCAGCTCTGAGTCTGTGTAGGGGAATGGGTTGTTAATGCACATCCTGGCTAGTTTCTTTCTGTGTGTTACAGGAGGATTGGTGGTCACCTTACAGGATGCAGTAAATATCTGCACAAATAAGAAACAGACGTTTTGGGCCTTCTAGAAGAGCCCAGCTAATATAAGGATAGGTTCCCCATGAGATGCTGATTTCAGGACTGGTATGCAGAAGGGTGTTGAATTTGACTTTGTGGAGGACACAAAGGCAAGGACCTTAAACGAAAAGGTTAAGGAAGAAAAGAAAAGGAGAAAAGAGTTTCAAGGGATGGTGTCTTGGTGCTGGAAGGCTTTTTCCTGGCTCAGTTATAATTCATTACCTTGATTCATTAACCTTTGCTTTTCTCATTTTTTATTCTGAAATAATGGAATAAGTGAATTGGATGCACTTCCAGCTAAATCAAAATTTCCGGCCAAGATAAATGCTCCTCATTTGGTGAAAGTGCATTTACATTTTCCATTTAAAGAATCTTCCTCTTTAGTTAGGCTTTCCCTGTTGCTAACCTGCAAAGCCAGGTGCTGGTGCACTGCAGAGTGATGCTGTGTGACCCACGCCCAAGGCTGAGGACCTGGAGCGGGATGCTGCAGTGTGGGGTGCAGTGTGCATGTGAAGAGGTGTTGGAGTCACTGATCCACTTGCACAGTGGAGAAATAAAAAAAAAAAAATCAAGTTGAGGGCCCTAATTTGTCAAAAACTGATGTATTGCTTTGCCATATAAAGGCAGTCAAGTGCAAACTGCAAGTCTGAGCCAGCAGGACTCCTTTGCTGTGGGTTCCCATGGGCAGGAATGAAGTCAGCTCAACGCACTTGGCATGGCAAAAACACCAGGTGACCTGGTGAGTCACTTCCACTAAGCTGTTTCCAGCTTGATCCCCGATGAAGGCTGTGTCAGTACTCTGCATACCTGTCCTTCTGGAGTATCCAAAGTCCCAGGGACTGTGGGGTGATCACAGTTACCCTCTGGCCCACAGTGCTGGTCAAACTCATGTTCACTATGTCACAGAATCATAGAATCATAGAATACTTTGGGTTGAAAAAGACTTTTAAAGGTCACCTAGTCCAGCCCCCAGAAAGTCCCAGTCTATCAAGGGATGTATCGCTCTGGAGAGGGATCAGGTGCCACCTTTCCTATCTGTTTAGCAGTGCATGCAGTGACAGGACAAGTGGGAATGGCTTTCCACTGACAGAGAGTAGGGTTAGATGGGATATAGGGAAGAAATTCTTCCCTGAGAGGGTGGTAAGCCCTTTGCCCAGGTTGCCCAGAGAAGCTGTGGCTGCCCCATCCCTGGAAGTGTCCAAGGCCAGGCTGGATGGGGCTCTGAGCCACCTGGAATAGTGGAAGGTGTGCCTGGTGGCAGGGGGTGGAATGAGACGATCTTTAAGGTCTCTTCCAGCCCAAACCATTCCATGATTATAGAAGGTGTCCCTGCCCATGGCAAGGTGGATTGAGACTACATGGTCTTCAAGGTCCATTCCAACCCCTTAATAGTGTCTGATTCTATGACTGTTTACATGCTAAGGACTGTTTACATACATTGTTATGGAACAATTTCCTCAGCTGCAGAGCAGCCTGGTGGGAAATGGGTAGGCCAGGAGGACCTTTGGTTTCTGGTGGGGTCTTCACGGAACTGTAAAGACCCAGATCCAGCCCCACTGGTTTTGTGGTCTTCCTGAAACCCATTCCAGGCGCTGCCTCCTGCGTGGGGGTGTTTGGCTGTCACCACTGCCCTGAGGTTTGCCCCATCTGTCCCAAACACAGAACATGGAGGACTTGCACTACTTCTGCTTAGTTGTCCAATGAAAATATAAGGATATGGCGAACCACTTCAAAACTGGCACCAGCATTGAATTTTTCAGGACTTTTTAAAATAATTTTTGGACTTTTTACAAAGCAGTACCTGCCACATAAGCTCAGATGAAAGATTTGTTAACATGTTACCTTGCTCTAGGGTATTTGAGGTATTTGAGAAAGGAGAGAATACAAAAGTTGTCTTATCTCAAAATTACGGAGATGTTCAGAGAATTTTAAGACAGTGATGTCTGAATGTTAATTTAAACTCAAGTGTGCATGTTCTGATGGGGATTGCATGAAGACCAGTCTGCAGCAGGTCTTTTGAAGACCTGCTATTGAAGTTATGATAACATGTGGTTTTCACTCAGAGTGCCTTTTTTTTTTTTTTTTTTTCCTTAGTGCACAAAGGAAGGAAATAGAAACAATTACAAAAGGAGCCCAGAGAAGGTGGGAACAAACTGCTCGGCTTCTGCAGGGGGGTAGGTTTGGTAATTTTTTTTTTTTTTTTAATGTCATATTCTTAACAGGGGACTAAGTCCTGTCCTCAGACAGGTCGAAGCTGGTGTGAGCTCCCGGTTCTGGTGTGTAAGTGGTGAGATACAGGAGCTGCAGCAGGACCCAGGCAGAGCCAGTCTGCATGTAATTTTCATCCCAGTGGTGCAAGGACTGATTTGTGCTCTGCTGTGAGTGCAGAGGAACTACCTAAAACTATTATTTTTTCCACGGGAAGAGAGAGCTTCCCATGAAACAAAACAGAAGACAGAAAGAAAGATGTTCCTCTTTCATGCAGATGTAAACCATCACAGGGCCGGGTCGCTAATCTCTTGTTGGTTTTTTTTTTTTTAACCACGTTTTCAGAGTTAATAAATGCCCTGCAGCCAAAGCGCTGACGTTATGCAACTTTGTGTCTCCCTAAATCAATTTTCCTTCCACTTGTGTACACTTCCTCCATGCCATGCCGTGCCCTGCCGTACCCGCGGCATCCCAGCGATGCCTCGTTAAAGCTGCCGCGGAGCCGGGGCTGCTCTCCTGCCACATCGGGGCCGGCAAACACTCCTTTATTCACCTGCTGAAGCGGAGACAAACCCGGCCACACACCCATTATGTGCTATGCGTGGTAAGAGCGGTGTGGTGCTTGCATCTGGGAGAGGAATAGAGCCTTTAATGTGGCTGGTTAACACTCCCAGGTCATATAATAGGCGCTTCCAAGCTGGTGCTGGATGCTGGGCTTTCCCCCTCATCTCTGCAAATGCAGCGGCGTTACCTAGTATTTTCTCTTCTTTCTGGAATTTTCCTCCCTCCCCGCCAAAATTCGTGGTTTCTCCGTAAATCGAGAGGGTTTAAATTGCGGGGTGGTTGGTATTTGTTTGTCCAAGGACCTGCCACCGCACAATTGCGGCCATTGTATCTCTCGCATTCTCTGGATTGTTGCCGTGAAGTCTGCGGGGCAGCCAGCTCTCTGTGTGCAGCCTGTTTTTAGAGGAATTCCTGCATCCGAATACAATAGGAGGAAAGGGCCGTATTCTCAGCAACTCTAGTTCCAGCACAGGCTGTGTAATGTTACCAGGGGTTTAGTAAAGCCGGATTAGCGTTGTGTTGTGCATAGGAGCACAAGCATGCACAAGCACACTCCTCCAAACAGAGAGATTGTAATGCACTTGACCCTCACTGGGGGGAAAAAAAACCCCACAAACCTTCAGGTTTTCCCGTAGAAGATACATTTCAAAGTGTTAGTTCAAAAGAAGGCTTATCCTTCAGATTCAAATATTCATTAAGCCCATCCGCAATTCAGTTTTCAGAGATGTGTCTCTCGGGGACAGAGGAATACAGAGACATCATCACATTAACTGTGTATTATGACTATCTGGGAATTTTTCATTTTGCAGAATAGAAAGGCAGTAAAAGATGTTAAAGAGTTCCAGTTATTTTATTTTTTCTTTTCTCTTTTTCCTCAAAAGTTCACCCAGCTGGGCTAAGCAGTACTAATAAATCCTCACTCTGCTAGAAGCTTCTCAATAATTGATATTGTGACATTCCCTGCTCCTGAGCCTTACCAGTTGTCCTTCAGCAGGACTGATCAAATGCTGTTTGTCAGGTGCTTTGAGGGAGAGGAGGGACCCAGGTAAGTCAGTAACGGGGTGCATGTTTACTGCTGTGCATTAAAAGGAATGAACAGAGTGCTCTTACCTCTCTGATGAGCTCAGGGGTAGCTGTTGCTTTGCTGAATAGGAAAGAAGGAAAGTAGGGAGAAAGAAAATGTCTCACCAGCTTATATAGGCTAGCATGGCTCCTGTCCTGACATTACTAATTAGTTTGTTTCTCCTCCCACTCTGTGAGCTCCAAGCGAATGTTAAGAAGGTTCCCCTTTGAATTCTCCACCTTTCCTCCTGCTCTGTCCTGGGTCTCGTGCCAAAAGCCTCTCCAAACGTCCTCTTCCCTGCTGCTTTTTTTTTTTTTTGCTTTGTATTTTTTTTTGTTGTTAGTTCTCCTTTAACTCAATCCTTTCTCCTCTCTACTGCTTAAAATGACTGAAGGCTTTAAACTGGACTCTCAGTGTACCTGAGCTCAACCTCCCCAGCATTATTCTCCTTATCTAACACAACTCAGCATCCTTCCCTCTCAAAACTCTGACCTGGAAATGTGCCTCACAGCACATTTTGTGTTCAGCAACCTGTCAGAGTTTTCCTTTTTCTGAGCAGTTTTCAGAAGCATGATTCTGTTAACACAGTGCAGTGAAAGACCTGGTGACCTTCCATTGTTTAATGTTTTTTTTAATTAACTATATGAGAAATTAATTTTTTTTTTTAACCTGTCCTCCCTTGATCATTGGATGAATCTGGAATATCAGAAATGTGGCATATTCAAGAGGTTTATAAGGCTGTGAAAGTGTTGTGAAAGGCAAAGAAGAGGCTGGAGAGGGAAGTATTGAGAGAGTGAGTTATAGGAGAAAGGGCAGAAAGAAGCTACTGAAGTTAAGAAACCTGTCAGGCTAATTTAAACCATGGTATAATTCACTTTGGGACTCTTTTACAGTGAAGAGTTAGGGAGGCAACCCTGCAAATTCACCTGGGTGCTGGAGGGAATGGTTTATTGTTGAACCAGAACCCATCTAGCTTTGTGACTCCGCTTCCTCCAGCCCCATGGGAACAGCCTCAGCATCCACACGGTGTTATTCTCACCGTGACCGTTCCCAGAGTCCATCTCTTTTGATGGAGATGTTTTTAACAGCCAGCTGGACTTTTTCTCCCCTAAGAGAGGGGCATCTGACATAAGTTGTCAGTGACGCTGCGTGAGCAAGGCTTCCTCTGATCAGACAAGCACTAGCCCTTGTGAGTGAGCCAGACACCGTCATCCTCTGACTTTGCAGCCAGCAGTACATATTACACAGAATTTTGCAGGGGAAGCTGCATCATGCCAGTGCAGTAAATTTTTGTCCCTTTACTAATAATTTCTCCTCAGGCTGCCTTTGCTTTATCGCTGGTAGAATGAACCCTTGCATCTCAAAAGAAGGGAAATGCATTGGGTGATTTGGATGGGAGAGCCTCCTAGGGAGTGTGTTCGGGTTGAGTTTTAGGCTTCACACGTCTCCTGTTCCAGGGATGCTCAGGCCTGGCTTCAAGTTACTTGAAACAGCTTCTTTTCAGCTCTTTGTCAATGGGTGCAGCACAGGGGACAGGCAGGATTTGTTGCTGTGCCGCCTCCACCTGCAGAACTGTGTGGTGGTTCTTCCCTCCCGGGAATCCCAGAGTCATGGAATGGTTTGGATTGGAAGGGACCTTAAAGCTCATCTGTTAATACTTCCCTGCCATGGGAGGGGGTGTGTGCAACCTTCCACTAGAGCAGGTTGCTCCAAACAACCTTCCACTGGACCAGGTCGCTCCAAGCTCCATCCAGCCTGGCCTTGGACACTTCCAGGGATGGGACGGCCACAGCTTCTCTGGGCAGCCTGTGCCAGGGCCTTGTTCTGTCGCCACATGTGCTCGTACAAAGGAACCAGATTTAGGACTGCTCTGTCTGATTCTGGTGCCTTAATGAGGTGTTTGACAGGTTGCAGTGACACACAGAAAAGCCACTGGCTGACGGGTCAGTGATGGATATCTTGGAGCGATGCATTGTTCAGATTATCAGGGCTGGTTAATAAGTAACAGGATCACAGTCTGCTGATTCCTGCGTGGGAATGAGGTCCCTGGCATCAGCCTGCCCTGTGAGATAGAGGCAGAGCAATGGAGATCTCCACTGCCATGTGACGGGCTCACTGGATCCCGGGTTCAGCCGGCTACCGGAGGGTTTTATTCATGTACTAACTGCCTTAGGGAATCAATAAATTTCCAGAAATTTACCTTCTGGAAAGGTCCAGACGAGATCCCATCTTGAGTGCTGGAGTCAGGTGCAGGAATGCCTGCCTGGAGCTGTGTGCCTTGGGCAGGAAAAGCACTCCTGGTTGCCTGAGGACTGAGATACCCTACAGGATCGATGTAGAAAGGTGGCTGTGATATAAAACCTCCCATTTATATCTCAATCCATACCAATTCAGGTGCTCATCACTTAACCTTCAGTGCTGGGCGCTCAAGGATTTAGGTGTCTCCTGCCATTTGGACTTTGGGATTCAGAGGTGGAAGGCCCAACCAGCAGTGCCAGTTCTTTGCCAAAAGGATCGAGGTGTGCCACGTGCCTGTTATGTAGCTGTCAGGTATCACCTGCCTGGGAGTGGGCCACCAGCTCTGGGTGACGGTGTAATTAATGCAGGATGTGCAAACTGATCTTTCAGGGAACACTTACAGGTGAGTAGTGAGTTGCCTCTTGATTTTAGGCATCAGCGTGAAGACCACTGGGTGCTGAGGACACGGCTGCTGGTGTTGGTGTCTGACAGCTAAGTTCTGTGTGGTTTAGGACGTCTGAATCTATGACTTGCCTCACCAGCTCTCTGCCGGCAAAGCTGGTTGATGTGTTTCTTCTGCACGCTGTGCTCTGTGGGAAGGTTCTCTTCAGAGAACACCCCTTGGACCAAGCCCAGCGCTTGACATGGTCAGAACAGGGGTTGGTCGTTGGATCTCAACCAGGCAGAGCACCTGAAGAATGCCTGAATGATCCCTGACTGGTTTAGCTCGCCAGGCAGGAGCTGTCTGGTTGGATTAGCTGGGTACGGTGCCTGAACAGGTCAGCTGTGCCTGGAAAGACTCCAAGGGCCCTAATCCAGCTTCACACGCTCTGGCTTCACGCCTCTCTCAAGGCTCAGTGGCCTTCAAGAAGAGGTGCACTGAAACCCACTTGGTAGCAGATTGCCTTTTACTGCTGGTTTTGGCCGTGCTCCTCGGCTCAGGTTGTACTGCAGGGATTAGGTCTGCACTGGGAGCCACATCAGCTCTTGGATTCCAGCAAGTGCTTCAGTAAATCCTCTGCAGATTGCTAAAACTCAGGCCCTGGTCTACCTTTGCTGGGTTAGGCTGTGGAAAAGTGGTATGCGTACAATATTTATGGGCTCCTTGCCATCCCACTTTGGTGGTCCTTTGCTGGACGTGCTGGGTATGACCCTGCCCTTTGCTGAGAAGCTCCAGAGTGGACACTACACACTAGGTATGTGTCACCAGTGATGAGTAAAAGGGAAGGATCACCTCTCTTGATATGCTGATATTTCTCCTAATGAAACCAAAGAAGATGTTGGCTTCCTTGCTGCAAGGACACACTGCTGGATTGTGGTCACTTTGGTGACCACCAGGGCCCCCCAGGGCCTCTTCTGCCATGGTCATTTCCAGCTGGATGGCCTCAGTCATGTACTGGTGCATGGAATTGTTCCTCTCCAGATTTAGAATTTCGCACTTCTCTTTCCCGAACTTCATCAGCTCCTTGTCAGCCAATTTTTCCAGCTTGCTGAGGTCCCTCTGGATGGCAACAGAACCCTCTGGTGTACCCAACACTACTCCCAGTGTTATACCTTCCCCAGATTTGGCAAGGATGCACTCTGCTCCAACACCCTGGTAATTAATTAGGATGTTAAACTTATTAGCCATGGGTTACAGCACTAGTGACTGGCCTCTACCTGTAATTTGTGTCACTGATTATAACCCTTTGAGCCCAACCATTCAGCCAGTTTTCAATCCAACTTTCTATCCACTTATCCGGCTCATACTCCATTAAGTTGTCCATGAGGATGTTATGGGAGAGAGTGTCAGAACCAGGTGATGCTCCAAAATTGCTCTGGTAAGATAAGAAACCTTTGAAGCCCACCTAGTGTAGTCTCTTGTTGTAAGACTGACTAGGACCCACTTCCAGAATTTTTCACAGTCTGTGGTTCCTCTGGAGGTGTGTGGAGAGGTGGCAGTGGTAATGGAGGTATGGCAGGAGTGGGAGATAACCACAGGGTGTACTGAGGGAGAGTGATGCTTACCATGTGCTGAGTAAGGAGACAGCTGCTCTGGCCAGTAAGGATTGACCTGTGTGACCCCCAGGGTACCTGGAGGAATAAGTCTGTCCTCATCAACATCTGTGGCCACCTTGCTTTTCATCATCTTGTTTTTATGAGTGAATGCAGAGTGGAAAAATCTGCTTCAGCACAGAGCACCGTGGGGTCTGTCACAGCCTTGCCCTTGGTGGCTGAGGGAAATACTTTTGGGTTTATGTGGTGTGGGCAGCGCTTCTGGCCCTGCATTCTGACCTGCAAAAAGCTGCTGTTTGACATTCCTCTGTGTGACAGAGGGATGGGTGGGATGGGTGGGGATGGCTGGAGCAGAGCACTCTCTGCTCCGGTGTCCGTCTCCCTCTCGTGGTGTGTCTCCAGCACAGCCACATGTGCAGCTATGGAAATCACAGCAAATCCTTATGTCTCCATTTTCAGAGGGCTCCCTGGCCCTGCCACAGTTCAAACTCGCCAGGCTCTGGGCTTGTGTACTGCTCTGTGTACTGCTGCTGATGTGTGCTCCCAAAATTAACAGTTCTCCTGATGCACACACATCACTTCCCTCCTCTGCCTACCTGCTCTGGAGACCCACTGACCTTCCTGTCCATCTTGGCATGCTCTCATAACTCACCTACTCAGTCCACGCAGCTCCAAGGGTGCATAAGTGAAACCTGGAAACCAGCTTATTAATTAAAAGCAACAGTCCCTGTCTCCCAGGATAGGAGTAGGGCAGGAGTTGGTAGAGTGGGTTGTAGATGTTTCACAGCCAGAATAGGGTGTAAAAAAGCTCTCCACTCTCATGGCAAATAGGTGCCAACTTCAGGCAGAGGTTCA